CAGTGTGTGCAAACCTGGTCAAGAACTACAGGAAACGTTTGACCTCTGTAATTGCAAACAAAGGTTTCTGTACCAAATATTAACACTGATTTTCTCAGGTGTTCAAATACTTATGTTCAGCAGTGCAAGACAAATAAATTCTTTAAAAATCATACGATGTGATTTCCTGAAAAATGTTTTTTAATTCTGTCTCTCAGAGTGGGAATGCACCTACAATGTGAATTTCAGACCCCTCCATGATTTCTAAGTGGGAGAACTTGCAAAATCGCAGGGTGTTCAAATACGTAATCTTTTTTTAGTATAATATGTGTGTGGGTAGAAGTGAATTATTTACTGCTTGCAAACCAATGATGGTAAGATGATGTCATGGGGTAGGACTGGATAAGTCTGACTTCTTCCTACTCCATTCAAGCAGGTACTAGGTATAAGCACATTGATATTGGATTATGTGTAAAATTATGTGTGTTGTCATATCAACTGTTTTTACATGCTTGAAAGAATAAATCAAATCAAAGGTGAAGTGCAATTTGTTGCAGCACTCTGGCTCTCTAGTTTAGCCTCTTTGCTTCCTTTCATTAATGACATGATTAAAAATGCAATATGTCACCCGCTTCAAATGCTGTTACACCATTTAATGGGTATTATCAGTTCTCATCCATCCTGGTAAAATAACCCTCTCTCTTATCATTTTTATCCTTATATCTTATTTCTTTAACAGATTTTCTATCACTTTAACTACTAGTAAAGGCCTTAGTGCAGTAGCATTAGCATGTTGCTATTCAGCAGCATCAGTACAATACTGACAACTGCAGCTAAAAGCCCATGCAAGCCCATCTGATTTCTCTGTGCCCCTCCTGCCTGTCTCAAGTACTCTTCAGAGTAAACCATGTAAAGTTCCAAGCATCTCCTGGCCTTCAGCTGCTCAATCAGTGCTGGATAGCCAATCTCCACAATGCTGACTGTGTCATCACCCTCAGCACTGCTAAGATCCTGTGAAGATTCTTCTTCCGGCTGTTTTGGAGGGTGGGCAGTTGAAGGTGCGGATGAGTGTTCTGATGCAGTGCTGTTGGTCTCTGCTGTGTTGCTGTGTGTGCCAGTGTCTGAAGCTGAGGTAACAACAGTAGTGGTAGTGATGGCAGCTGGTTCATTGTTTGGCTTTCGATTCTTGGCAGGCAGAAGGTCTGCTCTCTTCATGCAGGAGTCCATGTATCTGTCATAGGTCTCAGGGGGTTGGGTGTAGCTGTAGTCTCTGCTGTAGTCATTTGTATCTGTAGACTTGGTACCATATTTCCTGTACATGTAGTGGTTGTAGTAATGTTCCTCCTGTGGGTTGTGGAAGTGGAAGTGAGGACGAGGGAACCTTCCTAACCCGTAGCCCAGAGCCATTCCTGCCATAGCCCCTCCAGCTGCTGCCATTACTGCACTACGTCCAAACCCCCTGGATTGATGAGAGGGATACATGCCCATTGCCTGAACTGACTGGTAAAAAGGAGAACCCCCCCCAACACCGTAGCCCCCGTATCCAAAGCTGCCACGATAGTGGGGGCTCAGGACTCTGTTGTTTGGGTTTTGGTTAATGTATCCCCCTGGATAACCTCCATAACTGCCATAACCACCTCCATATGGGGAGCCCTGTGCTGGATAATGTTTATGGTAGCCTCCTCTACCTGGCTGCTGGGGGTAGCTACCGGGATACCTAGATGTACTTGATTGTGGACGGTAGCCTCCTTGATTGCTTTGTCCACGTTGTTTGGGGTATCCACCCTGCGAGTCCTGATTACTTTTATGGCCTGTGTTAGTGTGGGTGCTGTCTCGGTTTGATGTAGGAAGCTTCTTTGAGCCAGAGACTTTTCCAAAGCCGCCTCTTCTCTTAGCCAGTGAAAAATTGGTATGAAACACAAGAAGCGACAGGCACAGCACAGATAATGAAATCAGTTTCATCTTCACTCTGTAGGGTGGGTCAGGGAGAGAAAGGGGAAATAAAGAGAGGGAGAAAAAACACAAGAAAATATTTGTTCTCTTAAAAAATTTGGAGCAATTCAGCCTCAAACTGGGCTCACTACATTTTTGGTGACAGCCTAAAATTGTTTTTGCACCACACGGCTTTGAGCACCTGGTTTACCCTATGGGTTCATCACAGAGCTGTGGTTCTAAAATGAGCTGCCAGGTTGGCTTGAGATAGGACGGTGCACCATGACTGCTGAGTCATATTTTGATTTCTGCATCAGTGTCAAGTATCTGAAACTGGTCTTTAATATATTACAGTGTATAATGATAGCAAATAATAGATACCATATTATTATTATTATTATGTTCTCTATTAATCACTTATTTTGCAAAATAGTGTGAAATGATATTTCAAAGTGATGTCCTTGCTTTACCAGACCATCAGTCAAAAACCTAAAGATATTTGGTTTACTATGATATGAAAAAGCAAAACTGCAAAATTTGAAAAGCTGAAACCAGAAAATATTTAGCAGTTTTGCTAGAAAAATGACTGGCATCATTATTCTATCATCAAAATAGCTGCCATTATCAGTACGTTTTCAGTAACTGAACAATCATTACAGCTCTAGACAGTATCTATATAGCCCACGCCCAACTTGATTTCATTTCAATGTTGTTTCCTACTTCATTTGAGGCTATGACACCGGTGCTGTTATAACGTTTTAAGACAAAATTCAACAACGGGTGTAACAGTACTTGACTTATAAAGAGAAATAAAGTGGCACTTCGATCTATCAGGTTGCAGTTACACAATTTTTCACTGTTTCAAACATGAGCATAACGTTTATAAATGTTTCTTATAGATTCGGTGTTTGCTGTTACCACTGAAGACTTATCTCAGACTGGCATCTCTCTTAACCAGTCAGACCAGTCAATACATAATGAGATAACAGGCGTGGCAGCAACAGTCAACAATAACAACACCTTGTTTATAGTGAGAACTATGAGGCATATTGATGTAACGTTGCTGTCCTTCTCCGGATGGCCTTATAAAACAGCCCCGAAGAAAGAAATGACATTATGACCTAAGGAGAGCGTTAAGCTACTATTTTACAAACAGAAATAGGTGCGTGATCAGCATTTTATTGCCCAAATCAGCGTTAAAATGCGTGAGGGCGCTGTTACTTTAAATAAAGAACTAGGCTTACCTTGAATGATGACTGTCTGTTTGCTTCTTCAGTTTTCTGTGGCCTCGATTCCCCGAGCTTATGTAACGTTTCAACCGTTTGGATTCTGGAACCTCAATAATTCCACATGACGTAACGCATAGAAACAAAAACCCGGGGGGCGGGGCTTCACGTCACAATTCCCAGCATCTTCAGCAATTAGATTATGTCCTACTTATGTGCAGGATCCCCAGTGGTTAAAAAAAATAGGCTGCTCAAAGCCCTTACTTAAGTAAAATTATAAATACAACAGTCTAAAAATATTCCATTACAAATAAAAGTAATAGTACAGAAGTATCAGCAAAAATATACTTAAAATAGCATATAAGTACTAAAAGTGTTTGGCCACCGTGATAGGCTTATATAATACATTTTTAAAGTTTGCCTCCAGTAATGCATAAAGACATTTAAAATTACTCTTGATTAAAAGTCTTGTATGGGTTTTCCACTAAATAAGTATATATAAAACTCAATTTAACTAGTGAATTATCCTTAAAAACACATCAACCTTTTCTATTCTCGGTGAAAATTTCAGGATCTTTGATTAGGCTATGAAAATATTGTTCATTTTAAAGTTTAACTACTAATAACTTCTACTTTACCATGTGTGCTGGAAGTTATAGACTAAGCCTGCATATCACAGTTTTTAAGTTGCTGGGTGTAACTTCCAAAATATTAAGTTTGTTGATACATGTCTTGAATTTTTAATTTTGAGCCCAGAGAAAGCTTCCTTGTAGTGTCAGACTCTGAACACATCAGGGTATATATGGTTATTTTTTGTTATCATATGGGATAGTTCCACTATCTCTACTATCTAACTATTTTAACCTTTACTAAACCAAATGTTACATTTCAGCATTGTTTACAACTGTCCCATGAAACTAAATGCCTGTTTCATTAACTTTTAATGTTCTGTAGCTTGTAGAACGAGATCCACTGATGTGATATAAACAAAGGCACCTTTTAGCCACTTACTGGAAAGCTCTTAGCTGCCCCTAGGCAGGAACATTTTATTAGCAGTAGCTGAGCTCCAGAGAAGGAAATAAGCAGAATGTTGAGTGCTTTTGAGAGCCAAAACATCCATCCATCCATTATCTTTACCGGTTATCCTGAGGAGGGTCAGGGGGAGGCTGGAGACGTTCCCACCTGACATTGAGCGAGAGGCAGGGTGCACCCTGGACAGGTCTGCCTCTAGACTGGCGAACAGAGCTTTTATATTATACACATAAACATAAACATATACACATTACGCCACCTGCTGGCCACTGAAAGTTAAAGACCCTACGTGATCAATTAGTCTGTGAAGCTATAACCACCTACTTCTTTTCAAATAAAAGCAGTAATGACAGTAAAACAAAAAAAACTTAATTCAGATAAAACATCAAACCAAACCAGCCACTGATGAATCAGCAATACTGTATGTATGTAATATGAATGTAGGCTATTACTTTGCTGCTCATTTCAGAAACATAGGAGAATAGTTTTTATTTCACAAAAAAGTAAATTAAATTGGATTTAATTTCCATTTTACAGGTTTTGTCCATAGAGAAAAAAGGAAAACAACATTTAAGGGTTTTGTGATTTTAATCAAGTGGAGAATAAGTGTAATACAAGGATATAATGAACTAGAAAGCAGTGCAACTTTTAACTGAGAGAAACCTGCCTGCAGATCATGCATTATGATGACATAATGTGCCAAAACATCTATGGCAGTTGTAGGTAGTAACAGTGTCCGGCCAGCCACAGGGAGCAGTACTACAAGAGCTGATAACCATTGGTGGAAGAAATACTTCAAAATTGTACTTAAGTACAGTATTTGAGTAAATGTACTTTGTTACTTTCCACTACTGCTGTTAACACACACTGATATTGAATGAATAAAATGTGTTTGGGGAAAAGTTAGAATATAAACAGTTCACAATTACATGTTCCTTTAATTTTTAAAATTATTAGAGTGAAAGCTTAATCCAACCTCAGTAACTGACTCAGCTGATAAAGTAAGATGACATTTGGTACCTTTAGAGATTAATTCTGGTTAAAACAAAACTTTAAAAAAAAGGCTAAAACATACAACATACTGTGCAAATCAAGTGCAATGCAAATTGATTTCTTTTAATTCAACATCATCCACAATAAATGAATATTGAGAACAAGTGCATTACAGTTTAATTTTAGGCGTGTTAGGACAACAACATGCATACTTTTTTCAGTGTTTTATCAAAATTAAATAACTACTGAGATCATAGTAATGAAGATCAAATAAGAGTTATGTTTAGTATATGAAGAAAATATCCATCTATTACAAATACACATATAATGTAAAACCATCATCTAAAGCAGTGATATTCATATTTTAAGTGATTTAATTTTATTTATTTATTTACTTACTGTTTGTTTGTTCACTATATTCTTATTAGTCACTATACCATACACTTTTCCTTTTTGAATTTTAGTCATCTTCAATTTTCTGTTGTCTACACCCAATTACCAATAATAACAAAGACAAACCCTGTTTATAGATTTTTTTATTTTATTTTTTATTTTGCAACAAGTGATTAACCCTAGCAGAGCGTCAGAAGTCCTCTGCAAGGAATAATGAGATAAACTTGTGAATAATGAGATAAATCCAGGTGTGCAACTGCTATTGAGACCTCACCCTAGAAGACACACTAACACTGCTAAAGGGGCTTCTACAAATTACTGAATTTAAGGAGCTGTATACCTTCATAAATGAAACGTTTCAGTTTTGGATTTTTAATAAATAAGCAGAAAAAACTGAGGGAGTCTGATGACTTTCTGAGACCTAATTTCTGCATGCTACATGCCAGCTGTACTTACCATCTTATTTGGCATCTCAGCACGATAAAACATGCTAATTAGTACAAAGCACAGTGTTCATCTTGCTGATAAGAATGTAAGAATAATAATATAATAATGAGAATCTATACTTTTACACATAATGGGTCATAAACAGATGTATTAAAACACTAACTATTCACCCAAAGCTTATCAAGATATGTTATTCAAAACCAAAAGTGGCGGTACAAATGCAATCCATCTGGTAATTGTCAAGATAGTTTCAGTCTGGACCAAGTGGTGGACCAGCTGCCACTCCCATCCCTAGAGGCTCATCACTTGATTACATCTAATTTATATATATATCTTCATCACCTCAACTACTTATGGATGCCTCAGTGCAGCAGCAGAAGCAGCCTGTTGCTATTCAGTAGCATCAGTATAGTACTAGTGAACACAGCTAAAAGCCCTCGCAAGCCCATCTCCAGTCCCTGTGCCCCTCCTTTTGGTTTATTCAAGTACTTTGCAGAGTAATTCATGTATAGCTCTATGCATCTCCTGACCTTTAGCTGCTTGATCAGCGCTGGGTAGCCGATCTCCACAATGCTGACAGTATCATCATCATCAGCTTTTTGGAGAGACTGTGAAACTGGAGGCACAGGACTGGCTTCAAGCTGATTTAGAGGGCTGGGAGTTGAAGGTGCAGAGGGTGAGGAGGGTCCTGCTGCAGTGATGTTACTCTTTGTTGTATTGCTGCCAGTGCCAGTATCTGGGACAGAAGTATTTGTGGTGGTGCTTGTAGTTGTAGTAGTGGCAGCTGGTTTGTGTTTCGGCTTTTGATTCTTGGCAGGCAGAAGGTCTGCTCTCTTCATGCAGGAGTCCATGTATCTGTCATAGGTCTCAGGGGGTTGGGTGTAGCTGTAGTCTCTGCTGTAGTCATTTGTATCTGTAGACTTGGTACCATATTTCCTGTACATGTAGTGGTTGTAGTAATGTTCCTCCTGTGGGTTGTGGAAGTGGAAGTGAGGACGAGGGAACCTTCCTAACCCGTAGCCCAGAGCCATTCCTGCCATAGCCCCTCCAGCTGCTGCCATTACTGCACTACGCCCAAACCCTCTGGATTGATCAGAGGGATACATGCCCATTTCTTGAACAGAGTGGGAAAAGGGAGAGCCCCCGCTAACACCATAGCCCCCATATCCAAAGCTGCCACCATAGTGAGGGCTCAGGACTCTGTTGTTTGGGTTATAGTTTATGTATCCACCTGGATAACCTCCATAACTGCCATACCCACCATAACCTCCTGCATATGGGGAGCTTTGTGCTGGGTATCGTGGCTGCTGGTAGTAACCTCCTTGGACAGGGTAACCCCCTGGTCTATGTGGTTTAACCTTGGACCCGGTGTCCGGATTAATTTTTATTTTAGGGGGCTTCTTAAAGATATTTAGTTTCTCACTAAGCTTTATTTTTTTCTTAGCCAGTGATAAATGAATGTGAATCAAAAGAAGGGAGAGGCACAACACACCTACTACAGTCAGCTTCATGCTTGCACTGCAGAGAGGAGCCAGGGAGAGAAATGGGAAGAGAAATAGAGGTCGGTCATATATTAGAAAAAAACACAAATTTATTATCTTAAAATAATTAACAGCTGCACATGTTATCAACTAAACAGTAGAAATTAAAAGAGAATACAATGGCAGCTTTTAAATACAAGGCAGTTATCACTAGTTTTCTTTGGCTGAAACATACATTTACAGCACTGATATGTTGTGCCCCACACAGCCATGCCCAACAGTTTTATCCCAGGGCACCACATATGTGTCCAAAATAGCTGCCAGACTTAAAATAGCAAAGACCCTTCAGATGTTGTTTATCAGCCAAACGTTACTCTTTACACTCTTGTTTGCAGTTGATGTTTTCAAGGTCATATATTTTTTCTGAAAGCAACCTTTGCCATAAAGAAATACAAATAGGCTACACTACGTCTCCTGATATCCATAGTTGTCTGATTTCAAGTGCAAATGTCACCTTGTTCTTTGTATGCACATGAAAATAATCGTTACAAGTGCACATTCCTAAAACCCACTGGAGTTTTAACGTGAGAATGCTGTCAGAAACCTTTCTTATGGAAACACTTACAAGACAAATGTAGCCTAATCACCGTCTCCTTGAAAATGGAATATTCAACAGATTTACTGACCTTGCGCTGTCAGTGTGTCCACAACACTGCCGTTCCCAAACTTATCACCCCCCACCCTCCTGACCAGGATCCCTTAACCCTATAAAACCATTCATATCATATTTCCTACGCGAGTTTCTGAGCAAAAAAAAAAAATAGCCAAAAAATGCCCCATGTATCAAATATGATACAAAAAAAAAAAAAAAATCTAAATAATATGGCACAGGTGTTCCTATATGCCTAGATTGTCTGTCTAGGCATAAATGGCAAATAAAAATCTTGAATCTTGAATTTTCTTTTGGATTTTGTTAAAAGATTTAATAAACATCTCAGTTCCAAAATATTAGAATGTTCTGGCTATTTTTTGATGTCAGGCTTTACAGGGTTAAGTAAAATTAGCAGTACAACAGTGTAAAAATACTCTGTTACAACACAATGTTCTGCATTCAAAATGTTACTTAAGTAAAAGTACTATTAGCATCAATGCCTACTTCATGTTTTTAAAGTGCTCATTATGCGAAATGGCACATTTAACATGAATGTATATGACATTATTGGATTATAATTACTGATACATTATTGTGTTCATCACATTTAATGTTGCTGCTGGTAAATATGAGGATAGAAAGTTATGGCATAAATCATTGTCTGCAGCCGCTAATGAATGAGCTATAGACCTGTGTGGCGTTTACAGTGGCTTTCTTAAAGCCATGATAAATATTCAGATTATTTACTATATGTATAACCAGTTTAACTGAAGTAAATAAACTGGATTTGACTCTAATATTATCAACAAACAGAGGCAGGAGATGACTGTGACGGGTTTCATGATTTTAATTATGTAAATTGTTTCATCAGCCTGATGCTTATTTGCCAGGGTAAAGTGATTCATAAATTTCCTGCAGGGTATTAACAAACCGGAAAGTAGTTACATTTTGAACTGAAAGAAACAAGCCTGCAGATAGAGCGCACATGTTATTCATGTACAAATCTGTGATAACAGGTAGCACTCTACCAGTTTCCAGGCAGGCATAGTGTTAATGGACTCTATGAATCAAAGGAAACAAAACGCTGAAAAAGAATTTGCGCTGTCCAGTGCTGAGGCACAAACTTAATATTTTTCCAGTCTGGTAGACTCTCTGAGTCTCCAAGGCACAGCACAAATGTGAAACAGTCCATCAATTCCATTGTTTGATTACTGTGCAATCTTTTACTCATGCAGGGTGCAATCATCAGACTCGGAGTCTGCAAACCTTTGGCCAGATCAGCTCAGCACATCTGAAAAGCAACGTCAACATGACACGTCTCTCTCAACAGGTCAGTGACCCGTGTTCAAGAGTAATTTAACACCTGCTGAAAATCTGTTTTGACCTCCAGTGGTTTAACATTTCACTGCTGCAGTGATGTACAGGTGTACTCTGTGACATCACACAGCACACTTCTGACCACACCCAGGAGTAGCCATGTTTCAATCCAAATGTCGCACAAATGTTAGTTATTTCAGGTTGAAAATGTGAAATAATGCATTTTCATTCCTCACTAATATGCACGTTATGAGTTGGTTTGTTGAGATTAACAGCTGGTGGCACAATCTTCCAAGTGCAATTAAAGTAGAGGACAGTGTGGAAGTGAAAGGAGCTAAAACAAACAAACAAAAAAAAACAAAACACCAGACCTCAAAGGGTGAAAGATCATTTGGAGCATTTGTACTTATTTTGTGTCATTTTGAAGAAAGTCTCATCAATGGTTTTTTTATGATTACTATTTATTTTCCATTTCACTTTGTCATAATTTGCTTTTAACCCATTTTTGGATCACATTCCAAGATTTTTGTTTTCAAATTAATGGCATGCTTTTTATGTGCAAATGGAAAATGTGCTTAAAATATGTATAATCAGTAATGTAAAATGTTCCTAGTGTTGCTGGGGGTGGTCAGTTGAAATGTGTGGAGACAAAAAAAAGCTTTTCAGCCTGGTGTACAGTTACTCTTTAAAAAGCACCATTCTTCTGCAAATACCATAAATGATCAAAACAGCTCAAATCCACTCAGAAATTTAGGGAGATCTGTCAAAGTTATATACAGCAGCAGCACACAAACCAGAAACAATAGAGCAACTATTCTGATTTATGGCAATTTATTTTTCATAAACTTACAGTATGTAACGTTTTCAAATATTTTTGTTGCAGGACTCTGCTCCAAAACTCGTCTTAACGCGGAGAAGTGCTGTCGAAGCCTCCTGTGACCCAGACTCATTGAACAGCACTGGCAGCAGTGCAGACATTAGCTCCTAGAAGGTTTTGGGCAGGATTGACCTCTCTAACCAATCACAGATTTTCAATTATTTCTGCTTGATTAGTAAGTTACAATTTCGTAACAACAAATATCACAGGAGCTGGGCGGAATGTAGTGGAGCAGGGAGTGCTGAGCGGAGCAGATTGGACTGAATTGATGTTTCATGCTAGTGCTACCTTAAGTTACACACTGTAGCTTTAAGCTCCTTCACACCACAAGTGCGAAGCTGATTGAAAATGTTTTTCCCATCATTATCAGAAGTGGTATCTATAAGAAAGGATTCATTTAGATTGATCCTCTAATCAAATTGGGGAGGGAAAAGGAGTTTCAGCTAAAGAGAGAAGGTACGACTGGGCTCTTAGAACACACTGAGGTAAAGAAAGCTGAGCACAAACAGTAAAACCATTTTGTCTAAAATATCCTTTATCATATGGCATCCACCTCAGGGATGTGCCTGTGGATAAATAGCAATGAGGAAAAATGGGACAAACGTTCTATCAGCTGCACTGAGATCAGTGTCAAATATATGACAGGTGAGACAGTTACAAGTATTGTTCAACACAAAACTGTATTTATACATTACACATTTATAAGGTAAAATTCCCAGTAGCAACAGGTCATAAATTTATTAGACCTTAATGAAGTTGGAATTATGAAATGTGCCACAGTTTCAAAAACAATCTCATTTGTGGCTTCAGGAGCTTCTCTCCCATGTTAATACTAGTTATTTATGGATAGCATCAAGCATTTCCTATTTTCAGCATAAAGAAATCTTAGCACTGTAGTGTTAAAAACAACACATATGCTAATAAAAATCTGATATAGCTTTTATTTATTTTTACAAACTGTCCTTTCAGAGTTTTTTTTTTAACCAGTGGTGGCAGACTGCACTTTGCCACAGTCACGTCTGGGTTTAAGGAGTGAACAGCTCTTAATAATCTACCACCAGCCTTCATTTAATTGCAATTACAGCAGCAAGCAACTGCACTATGTCACCCCGCTCAGAGGCAGGGCCAGTCCAAATCTGCTGCTCCACCAGCTGAGATTCATATATTGACTCAACTTTCTGTAGTTTATTCAACTGCAGGTTCAGACAGCGTGTCTTCTGGCGTCTGCTTCAGCAAGTCGGCATGTTCCAGCCCAATGAGTAAAGACGAAGGTGAGACAGCCACTGAACCAAGAGGTTCATTAGTCTTTTTCAAAATGGATGACCAATCCTCAGCTGGAGTTAAAAGGTAAACAAAATAAAACTGTACAAAGCTTCTATTGCTGCGCCACCGTGGATGAAAATATAAATGATATTTACAAATTTACAGGCACAGGACGAGGTGGCTGTATAGACTGTAGGGAGGCACCATCAGACAGCTGAACAGGATTGGGCTTCACTTTTAGGACATTAGGTCAAAGAAATCCCCCCCAAAGAAGGACTAAAGTTTGTGTCAGTTCAACTCCTCTTCGGTCCAGGGGCTCCTACTCGTCTTTACACGCCATTGGCGCTGATCTTGTTCTTCTGAGGCACCTCTGTCACTGCTTTAGCCTGTGGAAGAGGCCACACAACTTAATTTTGCTAAAATACCCGCTATTGGACATTTGAAAATGTGTTTCTTTCACTGTATGTTTGTTATGGATTAATTTCAGGTGACATGAACCAAATTTCTTTAACTTGCACTTAGGTTTTTGTAGGAACATGCATGGTTGGTTTAAAATAATTACTCAGAAGCATGTGTGAAAGTGATAGGTCTTTCTCTCTCTCTGTCTGTCTGTCTGTCTCTCTCTCTCAGATTCACATGTTGTTCAGTCCTGCCCCCAGAATAGCTGCTGTGTCCCACTGTGAAAGATTAGCATGTCATGTGAGGAAAGATCAAACTGGATTTCAAAACCCTGTCTAGCCTCAGCTCTCAAACTGGTTTTTGTGGACGCCACAGGGTCCAAGCAGCAATGGGTGCTCACCTAAATCAGCAGGAGTCAGAGGTTTGTCTGAGGCCACAGGAGCCTTGTCTCTCATCTCCTCTGCCTAGAACACACAGAAAGATGTGAAATGCAAGATAGAGGGACTTGCATGGTGACATTGTTCTTCTGTACATGCAGCCCTCTTGATGTTCTGTATCTGTCACTATGTCATCATCTCCAGGTCAATGTTTCATGAACTAACTAATAAGTCTGTTTCCAGTGCATTTCTAGGTTTTTAAACAGTTCCTTTTAGTTCAAAGAAAGTTATCATTCAAACTGCAAGGATCAATTTATAAATCATTAGGCAAATTAATCATTTTAGTAATTTTTCAAATAGAAATCAACCATTCATCAGCTCTAGCTTCTCAAATGTGAGGATTTAATGCTCTTCTTCATCATAAAAGACCAGATACTGAATAGCTGTGGGTTTTATAATGTTGGCTGAATGAAAACATCTGAATACATTTCTTTTGCTGTGATAAAATATAACAGTTTTCTTTTATAAAACAATCAACTGATCAATAATTAAAATAACTGTTAGCTGCAGCCCTGTTTTGGACATTCTGGGAAATGCACTAGTTTGCTTTCCTACACAACAGGACATTGTGTTGAGCTACGCTGACTGCTGACTGTTGCAGTATGCAGATCTTTTGTGCTAGTTCTTCATGATATATACTTTGTGTGTTCCAGCATTAAATGTACATCTAATGTTTTTGACAGAAATCTATTCCTAGCTGCAGTGATGACCAGCTTGATTTGTCATCACTACAGTTCATCTCATACTGCTGTGTGTTTTAGGAGTGCACTGACCGGTCTGTCCTTGATGGTGACAGCAGGGTCTGCCAACGTATCAGGACTGACTGAGGCTGTGCTTACTCCTGTATTCTCCACTGGAGGAGGAGTAGCTTTCTGCAAAAATAACAAACACCTGATGAGAAGGCTACATCCCATTTCAGTAAGAATGAAATGAACATGTGTTCATAGATTCTGTATTTTTAAACACTGGTCACACACAAAAACATTTTCCTAACTAATACTGCTCCCAGTGGCAGGCTAGAAAGAATGTTTAAGACTTTAATACCTCCTTAGGGCCCTTTTTTGACAAAAGCATTTTTGTATTTTACTTTTAACTAAACCATAAACAGATTAATTAAAAATACTCATTAGCTGCAGCCAGAGCCAGAAACATCACAGTTATGATATAGCTTCCATAAGGAGAACAGAATGTGACAAACGTCAGTGACCTACAGACCAGCTATTCTACAGCCGGAATATTAAGATGGGTACAGCTTTCTTTAATCTGCACATTAGACTGAATATGTAATGATATGCTGTGTAATAGGTTAAAGTAGATATTGTAAAGGTCGGACCTCTAGTTTGGGAACAGGCGGGATGACTGGGGCTTTAGGTTTGATGTCAGTCAAGTACATGGCTCTGGAAAGCAGAAGCAGTGATGGAGGAACGTTCTCCTTCAGGTGCAGGTCCAACCACTAGATGGAGAAGAACATCATCTATTAAAGGACATCACATCATATATGTTTTCTGTGTAACTCTTCTATTGCCATGTTTTTATTGTAGAGGTAATCAATAAGCACATTCTTGGCTTTTCTTCCTCCCTGCACATCTTTTTTTTTTTTTTACTGATGTCTGTAGTGATCTGTGTATTTGTGCAAATAAATACATTGAAATAAAGGACAACACTGACAAGACATGTCTCCAAATGAAGCTACACATTCCCACAAAAACAAACTCAACTCAACTTTATTTATATAACGCTTTACCACAGCACAGCTGACCAAAGTGCTTAACGTACCATACAAATCTAAAATCACCACATAAAAAACTATAAACAATAAAACAAACACTCTTGACACTACAGACAGAGTTTCATTCCTGGCCAAACGCCAATGAATACAAGTAGGTCTTCAAATAAACAACGAGGGGGCCTGCCTAATATAAAGAGGCAAAGCATTCCACAGGTTTGGACCCACCACAGCAAAGGCTCTATCCCCCCTAGTTTTACGCCTGGCCCTTGGTGCCTCCAGAAGAAGCTGATCAGCTGATCTAAGGCACCAAGGTTCACCAAGCTAATTTTAAAGCAACTCTTAATTCTTGTCAGCTGCTAGAGGGTCTAGTTAAATTCAGAACAACCTGACTCTTAAGCCCCTCCTAACCTCTTTGTCCCTCCCATCACGCCCAGTTTCCTAGCAATGGTGTAAACTACAGACACCTGGTTGTTACAAACCATAGAAAATACAGCCTCCATTCAGAGCCAGTGTTAGCTGATTAACGAATAAGTCTGTCAATCCAGTACAACGCTTTGGTTACTGTTAGTTACACAGAGCTCAAAAGGCCAAACCGCTGTAGACCCTGGTTTTCACTCTCTCTGTCCCACTGTCTCTGTGCAAAATAGAGTGACCTCTTCAGTTTGGCAGCCCCTGTTTCACTGATATTTCAAGATTTGTATTGTCTTGTAAGTGTTTAGCCTCTGCTGATGTTTCCCTGGAGAATCACACATTAGTGAAGCCAGGATTTAGTGTCTGACAAGCAGCAAAAGCTACAAACTGTCTTTCAGCTGCTCACCTGCTGCAGCTGCCCACGTAGCTGGTCTGTGGTGAGACCCAGAGACCTCATCCCACGACTGCGACAGGCTGCCTGTAACTCTGACACGCTCATAGCTGCCACACCCTCTGCTGCAATCATCTGTGAGGAAATAAAGAGGGAAGTCAAAAATGTTGCACGTTTGAGAAATGATTATAACTAAACATCAAGGCTGACCAGACTAACATTAATTGAATTTGTTTAATCATGAGGACAGCAGAGACCGAAACATCTTCAAAGCCCAAATTACTGCTATAGCATTTGCTAGTTTCATAACCTTTGTCTGTTTCTTCCTAAGCCATAAAATTCCAACATCCCAGTCTGTCATCTCACCTCATCGTCCGACTTGATGGTCCTGAGCTGCATCATCATCTGAAACCGTAGCAAGTTGTTGGTGCCGATGGGCTGCAGCTCCAGCAGTTTGCACAGAGCCACCAGCTGGGGGCGCTCCAGGTGCTCCAGCGTCAACTCGTCCTCAAACAGCTTTGAAAACTGGACGATGTCCTTCGTGGTGGGCTGCTCACCTGTTCCCCGAACCTGACAGGGGACACAGAGTCACTGATGTGAAGCAATGAAACCATCATCAGCGGAGATCATGTAGCTGTACCTGCAGAAAGTTATGTGACACTAGCATGGCTGGATTAACTTCCTAGGGAGTCCTGAGGTAAAAATTTTCTAGGGACTCTATCGACCTCCACAGCACATGGTAGTGTCATCATTTTGCCAGAAACCACATTGTAAATGATTCATTTTTAAGCCAAAATACTAAAATTCACTGGTAGTGGCTTCTCAAATGTGAATATTTTTACTTGTATACATATTTTACTTATATAAAGTCAGGTCTCTGAAAAAGGCCAAGTCCACCTCAGCTGATCCCAGTCATCCTGTGTTTGGAGAGTTTATGTTGCTTCCATCTAGTCACAGGTACAAACAGGTTTAAAAATGTCCCAGCTGCCATTGGGGGCAATAACAAATAACATGCACTGGAGAAAATGTGTGACTTTTTGGACACACGGGCTGGTAACAGTTACCTTGTCTGTACTTTACCTTCTGAACATATGTGGAGAAGCGCTGTGTCTCATTCTCCATCTGAGCTTTAGCCTTGTTTCTTTGGGCCATCTCAGCGATGGTCTCTTGAAGAAACTTGGCCAGTTCCAGCTTCGCAGCCAGACCCTTCTTCTGCTTCTCCTCCTGTGTGAAGACGAGGGAGGAGACACGGGTTAGTTCTGTATACCTCAAACACAACTACTCTGTGATGCGATTATACACATAATATAAAGTGGTACTCCAGAACACAGTTTTTAATGCTTCAATAGTGGAGTGGAGACTATTCATTCTATTTTCAGGAAGTAATGTACTAGCTTCAAGCACAACAAGCTGTGGATGATTTGCAGATAATATGCAGATTTGCAGATAAAATACAAAAGCATAGCACTGCTGATTTTGACACTAATGTATAATGGACTGTTGCAACATGCTGTTCTGTCATCTTCCTCTGCTCTGGCATATTCTATGAGGCCTGACAACCTCTCTGCTGTCCAGGAGCACAAGTGCATATAGGTCTGGCTGCTGTACTGCAGATAGACAGACAGCTGTTCTGATGACTAAAGACAGAAGGCGCGTCTCGCTTTCAGTGCGGATTGAGTGGAATCACGCTTCAGTAGTGCTTACGTCTTGCTTCCGTTGTGTTTTACCAGTAAACCACTAAGTGAAGTCCTCGTTTTACCTTTAAAGCAGTATAAGTGCCTCTTATCACATCGTGCTCGTAATGCTAACGATTGAGGTGTGAAACGTGAACATTTAACCAATCACGGCCAACCAACTGCTCTGTACTCACACGCCTCCCACCCCCCTTCGCAATGGAAACAAACACAGAACCAGTGATGAGCATTACTGAGCTTGACATGTTGACAGGGATCATCAGATCTGACAAGCCAACTGGATCAAGTATATCAACCTGCTGCTCCTCTACAAGTGATCTGAGGTTAACAAAAGGAATACCAATTTATTAGCTTATATAATCACAGAAAGAACACACCAATCAACAGTGGGTCCAGTGCTTGTGCAGCTTTTATGAGTGCTTTGCAGTTCTGGAATGCATGTGTATACTTTGTTATAGTTCTTCAACCAAACAGCTTGATTAGATCAAATCAGCTGCCTGCATGACCAGAGGCTCGTAACACAGCAGGTACAGCCATATCTAACAAGTCACATAATCAGGATGAACCTTGTTGCAGTTCATTCAGCCAGCAGGGTGTGTGTGTGTGTGTGTGTGTGTGTGCATAAACACATGCCTTTTTGGACTCTGTCTCAAAGGTGGAAGGCAACATCTCTGGGAAGAGTTTGAGGAAAACTGGAAGAAGGAATTCCATGAAAGGAACGATGATAAACACTATGAAGGGCACCAGACGGAACAGATCAGCACAGGTTCTCAACAGCTGTAAGCACAAAAAAAAAACAAACGCTAAAGTGACAAAATGGCCAGTACTGGCACCATGGCACCAGTGTCAGCACCCAAGTTTTTGGAGCTGTTCACACATGCACTGAAGCTCTGCAAGTCCTCTTATAAAATAGCCCAAACACAGTTTTACCATGGCATGTGTACATCTTGAGAAATTATTTAAGTCTCATAGAGAATACACCTCCTGATTACCTAAATATTTTAGTCTCATCAGAGATTATGATAATTATGCAAAACCAGGTAATTTAATTACTGTTATTCCTTTCACATGCAAGAATTTCATGGGCAAAAATAAATATATACATCTGGTTTCAAGTCTCTGAACAGGATCTCTGAAGCAACAGCGGACTGATATAGGTGTTAAACGTTTGGTAAAGCCATGGCTGATGAGTAGTCATTCATAAACCTGCTTTGTACTGTAAAGTCTCTACATCCCACTGCTGGACATTGCAGGGCTTCACAGCCAGACAAAGAAAATCCTGTAAAATCAAACTTAATCATTGTACAAGATAATATTCATTCAGCTCATCTTACCCTTCTCCTCTCCCTGCGCGTGAGCACTTGTCCGTGGAGCAGAATCCATACCATCCGGCCTGCAATCTTAATGTCAATGCCAAGTAACCGGAAGCCATTGTAGTAATGCTTCAACTCATCCACAATCTTCTGATACAGAGACTTTTTCACAACTGCCTTCTCCTGCACTGGAGGGATTGCAGGTGTCGTGGTGGACGCTGGAGTGGGAGTTGATGAGGATTGGGGCGAAGTGGTCACCAAGTCCTTTTTTGCTCCTTGAGAAACATCCTTTGCAGCGGCTGCTGACACCTTAGGGTCATCCTGCTTTATATCCTGGAACCAAACCTTTGAGGTGTGTAGAGAGCGAGCAAGCAGGGTGGAGCTGTGGCCGCACCTGAGGGTGTGACTTCGGTAACAGTTGGGGTAGCCATAGTGGGAGTGCTTGAGTGGGACTGAGGTCAAAAGGTGATGGGGAAGGTCTATGTGGAGACAGGTTTTGGAAGACAGAGAGGAGCAGCTGTGCCTCTTGGATAACAAATATGATCCCCTATTGACAAAAAAAAAGTTTGTTATTATACAGTGGGTATGGAAAGTATTCAGACCCCCTTAAATTTTTCCCTCTTTGTTATATTGCAGCCATATGCTAAAATCATTTAAGTTCATTTTTTTCCTCATTAATATACACACAGCACCCCATATTGACAGAAAAACACAGAATTGACATTTTTGCAGATTTATTAAAAAAGAAAAACTGAAATATCACATGGTCATAAGTATTCAGACCCTTTGCTGTGACACTCATATATTTAACTTAGGTGCTGTCCATTTCTTCTGATCATCCCTGAGATGGTTCTACACCTTCATTTGAGTCCAGCTGTGTTTGATTATACTGACTGGACGTGATTAGGAAAGCCACACACCTGTCTATATAAGACCCTACAGCTCACACTGCATGTCAGAGCAAATGAGAATCATGAGGTCAAAGGAACTGCCTGAAGAGCTCAGAGACACAATTGTGGCAAGGCACAGATCTGGCCAAGGTTACAAAAAAAAATTTCTGCTGCACTTAAGGTGCCTAAGAGCACAGTGGCCTCCATAATCCTTAAATGGAAGACGTTTGGGACGACCAGAACCCTTCCTAGAGCTGGCCGTCCGGCCAAACTGAGCTATCAGGGGAGAAGAGCCTTGGTGAGAGAGGTACAGAAGAACCCAAAGATGACTGTGGCTGAGCTCCAGAGATGCAGTCGGGAGATGGGAGAAAGTTGTAGAAAGTCAACCATCACTGCAGCCCCCCACCAGTCGGGGCTTTAGGGCAGAGTGGCCCGATGGAAGCCTCTCCTCAGTGCAAGACACATGAAAGCCCACATGGAGTTTGCTAAAAAACACCTGAAGGACTCCAAGATAGTGAGAAATAAGATTCTCTGGTCTGATGAGACCAAGATAGAACTGTTTGGCCTTAATTCTAAGCGGTATGTGTGGAGAAAACCAGGCACTGCTCATCACCTGTCCAATACAGTCCCAACAGTGAAGCATGGTGGTGGCAGCATCATGCTATGGGGGTGTTTTTCAGCTGCAGGGACAGGACGACTGGTTGCAATCGAGGGAAGGATGAATGCGGCCAAGTACAGGGATATCCTGGACGAAAACCTTCTCCAGAGTGCTCAGGACCTCAGACTGGACCAAAGGTTCACCTTCCAACAAGACAATGACCCTAAGCACACAGCTAAAATAACGAAGGAGTGGCTTCACAACAACTCCGTGACTGTTCTTGAATGGCCCAGCCAGAGCCCTGACTTAAACCCAATTGAGCATCTCTGGAGAGACCTGAAAATGGCTGTCCACCAACGTTTACCATCCAACCTGACAGAACTGGAGAGGATCTGCAAGGAGGAATGGCAGAGGATCCCCAAATCCAGGTGTGAAAAACTTGTTGCATCATTCCCAAAGAGACTCATGGCTCTATTAGCTCAAAAGGGTGCTTCTACTAAATACTGAGCAAAGGGTCTGAATACTTATGACCATGTGATATTTCAGTTTTTCTTTTTATAATAAATCTGCAAAAATGGCAAAAATTCTGTGTTTTTCTGTCAATATGGGGTGCTGTGTGTACATTAATGAGGAAAAAAATGAACTTAAATGATTTTAGCCAATGGCTGCAATATAACAAAGAGTGAAAAATTTAAGGGGGTCTGAATACTTTCTGTACCCACTGTATTATATTGTGTAAGGCAATGATCTCAGGAAAAATACTGGTGCTCAAATGTACATTCTTCAACTGATTAGTTGATCAACAACACAAGTATGGCTTCTCATGTGTCACATCAATATACATTAGTTTGTGACATTAGTTTGATAATCGCCTGATTATTTAAGTAACTTCTCATTAGACTCTGGTAATTTGTAGGCATTTTTAAATCACATTAAACAAAATGTAAGCTGCAAAACAGACTGATGATAAAATTACACTGTGGATACAACCACCACTATTCACAAACACTGGTAAGACCATCTGTCTGGTTAATATGTAGAATTAACCAATCTAGGGCCTAACCTAAACTAACAATTTTATTACCCTTTAATGATTTGATCATTTAATTGATTAAGCAATTGTCCAACAATAATGAAAGGGTCCTGTGCTTTTTTTTCAGTTTTACCATAATTTAGATATAAAACATAAAAATAGAAAAAACAGCACAGTTTTTCTTGATAAATTATTTAAACTATTATTCTAATATCAAAATTGTTGAGAATTAGTTTTCTGTCAATCAGCACTGTACCACTAATTAAACATCTTGATGCAGTGTTTATAGAAGTATTTGTCTTGATTTGGTCCTTCCTGGCCACTGTACTCTCATCTGCCAATCACACAAGAAATGAAACTATGGCTGTCTATCAAACAGGCTCCCTGCATGTTAATGTGGGCTACGTGTAATGACTGCTGTGCTGATTATGAGTGGGATTTGGGAGCGAAGGCTGAGCAGACATAACTGGACCAAGTCAGGACTTAGTCTGGGTCAGTCAGTGTTCACGGACAAACTGTTTTTTCTTGTCATTTTCAGCACAATTTGGCTTCTACACCACAGATAGATATTAACAGTGCAAGCCGGTTGTGTCCATATTTGTTTTGGTACAAGGGCACAGGAGAATTGGTGTGATCTCATGGGGTATACAGACTCTTGTACTGCCTGAACCTCCAGTTGTAATGGACACTGGCTCAGTGTCTACTCCGTCGTTAGGTGTGTGTGCTCCTAGTGTGACCCGTCCAGTCCTGTCAAGTGTGTCCCCACCTTGAGGCAGCCAAACTACCTGACCAACACCTGTAGACTTGTATCTTGTTCCTCCTTGGTCTCTGATGCTTTAATGATTAATTAGCTGAGTCAAGTTCCACCTCTCTAGTGAAAGCATCAGTAAAGTCTTAGTTTGTTAAAAATGTCTTGACACATATTGTATTTTTAGTTTGGCTGAGTCAGAGATGTTATTTAAATGATTGCCACACCTGCACTAGAAGCTATTTGAAATTATGATGGCATTGTGTGACTGATACAGTATCATGAGGTCAACACTCCTGAGAAACATATCTGCTGCTTCACTCTAAAATATTCAGGTGAATCACTCAGCTGCTTCCTAGAAACATTCATACATTGTTTGTTTTCACAGCATGTTCAGATCCAGGATCTACAACACAGTCACTTAATCCTGTTCAGTATACGCCTCAGCTGTGTCTGATTAGCTGTGCTCAAACCTCTCTTCCCCTACTTCACACACTTGCTGCCACACAAATAAAACGCACACTAATACAGCCAGAAAACAAGACTCTGCTGGGAGGTGTTCATGGCACACAATGTATAAGGTCCCAGTCTGCCATAGAACATGTGTTCTTAATTCACTGTTTATTTTGAAACGTCACACCACTCTTTACGATGTTAAAAACATTTAACAAATCCCTGTCATGTGACTGAGGTTGTCGGATATGCTGACATGGAGAGAAGAGATTTGTGTAAGAGAAGACATAAATAAGTAACAAAATTTGTAATGATATTAAATCCACCTTCATGTATTACAGTTAAAGGGGCCCTATGAAGTTCTCTTGAAACTCAGAAGCTCTGTTTACAATCCCTGTTACCCACCAACACATACTACATGGGTCCCTGAGGTCTAACAAATGTGCTGAATATGTTTCACCCCCTCTAAACATATCCCAAGCTGATTGTTTAAATGGTTGAAATCATGAATTATTTACATCTGTGTTCCTATCTGATGATGCAGTGGTGGCCTATTGAATCCAGAGATATTAAAAGCACAGTATGACACAGTATTAAACAGAATACATGGTTAGAAACTTGTTTCAGTGCAAAGCTTTGCAGACTTCTCTGCATCTTATTAGCACCACTGTGCTCCTAAACTTCATTACGTGCTGTAAATAATAAAAATATATCCACCTGTTCTAGCACTTAAACATAGAAAAACAACAACTTGCCAAACATTTGACTGTAGTGTGTATATGTATATATGTATAGATGGATAGACAGATCATGTGACAACATAAACAAATCACCAAACACTAATGTATGGTTAACTGGCTCTTATAGCAGGGGTCATGACCTAGAAGCTGCCACTTAAACAAACTGAGCTTCATTGTATTCTCACTGTGATAATATAATCTCCTCTGGTAGAATACACTGTCTTGCATCATTAACAGAAACTACAGTAGGTGTGTACCTGGAGTCATGGGATACACTGATTATGCTCCACTCCAGCAGATCATATGTAAACTAGCATAATCTGTGCAGAGCAGAGATTATACCTAAGGGCTTGTAATTACTGTCATTGCACATTATAAAAAGAATTACTTATTCATTTAGTTAACCTTGGTGGGACACTGTTTGCTTTGGATAACCAGAGGTCTTGTTTTATATGGACATCTGTAGCTGCAAACGTACCTTGATCTTGTGACTGCAAGGAGCATCTGGTGACTAAAGACTGCCATTGCAGGGGCAGATTACAGTAGTCTGTCAAAGCGCACACGGGAAGGGGGAAGAGGGGAGCAGACACCCATATGTCTAATTATAACTCACTTGTAAAAAAAACAAACAAAAAAAAGCACAACACCAGCAACATCTGTCCACACACTATAAGTGTTGTCTAGTTTTATAATTTAATTAGGTGGCTATAAGTATAGTTAATTCAACTGTGACAGTTACACCAAAAATCATAATGATTCTTCCATAAACTGCATATTTTTCACCTAAACTCAAAACTATATCAACACTCATGTTAAATCTAAGAAATACTTATGTTAAACTGTCAGCACTATAACGTTAGTCTGTATAAATCAGTTACCCAGGACTGAAGAACAGCAAGTTAGCTAAATATCATAAACACAGCAATACATCTTTATACTGGCTCCTAATCTGACACATAATAAATACTTCTCTGAACCCATGTAACGTTATAACGTATTGGTTTTATTTGCTATTAAAAATAACCAGTCAATAGTAGAATTTTGGAAATATGCTCACAAGTATTACAGACCTTTCCCTTAAGTAATACACTCCTGTTAAACTCAATATAATAATAATTTTAATAATAATGATAATAATCGGTTGAGTTGGCGCCGTAGATGGCTGCATCAGTTCTGTACCTGAAACAAATTCCTTGTGTGTAACATACTTGGCCAAATAAATGTGATTATCATTATTATTATTATTATTTTGGTAGCTTTACTTTGCCCCAATGTAAGTAACCAAGGTACCTGCTAAATCAGATATAGAATGTCTTAAACAAGTGTTCGAAACTGTCGTTAACACTGCTACTCTAGAAACCTTTGAAACTTACCGGTAAAGTTCGTTTATGTCCATACTAACATCATATTAACAAATTAAATGTCAGATCCCACCACTAGCCTAGCCGGCTGTAGGGTAAATGCTAAAGCTAGCTAGTGAAATGGCAGCCCCCTCATCTCCAGCGTCACTCACCGATCTATGGCTGGCGCCGGTGGCTGGGGGAAGGCTTCTTGGTACGGCGTAAATAATACAATCCATCGAGAATAATCAGTTGAGATAAACGAGAGCCACGAAAATAACGGCTGATGTGGCAATAAACCCATTTACAATGGATTAATTCTTTAGGTCACTTCTTATTAAACTGCCGACCAAGTGTGCGCAGCCCTCACAGGCAACTGCACTGGAAGGTTACACTGTACATGCGTGAATGTTGTGCGTAGCCGCCATAGATCGTCTATATTTAACATGGTGAATTACTTGGTGGCTAATATACACTCCCCAACCATCCGATCGTGGAAAGGTGGGCGTTAACCAAAAAAAGCTTTTACCTTTATGCTGTTGTTAGTGTTCACATGATATCACATTCTCATAGGAGACCATGCAGGGCCACCAGGGGTGTGTTTTCAAAATCCAGACACTGACAGATATGTTTGCCAAATGTTTTGCTTGCACCTTCGGCATCTTTGGTTCAGTTTTGATAACAGTCTTCTGAGGCTTCTCTGTCTGGGCCGGTGATGGTTCTCTCAGCCGGGGCTGGACGTGGGCGTCCTCTGTCTGGCTTGTGGTACCTGCCTGTGTTGCCCATCTGGAGGGCAAAACAAGACTTTCCTGTTCTGCCCTTAGCTTAATTAATTGTGAGTATGTCTTTTGCCATTTTTTGGACTGCTGGTTTGACGCTAGCTGCATTTTAATGACTCTGTGCATGTACTTTGTACAATGACATTAGGGTGTAATCTAATCCAAGAGACACTAAACAACCACACAGAGATGCAAAATTACCACAAAAAGACTCAAAACTGCCTCAAAGACTGGCGATTTGACCATAATTTAGACATAATAGTCAATCTGCATGTCTGTGTTGTTATTATGCATCTGTTTGGCTTTTCAACAAGAAATTAACAATTAAATTATACATTAACAAACGAATCCTACCACATCTGACTTGGATGGCCATGACCGGGTGCCGCCCCTTTGACCTTCCTGTTTCTCATTATATTTGCGGTACCTGAAAATACGGCAGAGTGAGCGGTCTTTCACTTTTTTCTCCTCTCAGCCACAGATCAGGCGAGGAAGCCTATAAAAGCCAATCAGAGCCTCAGGTGCATACGTAACCACGGTATCCGCATCGCGTTGTGGTAAGGGTGGGGGAAAAAAAAAACAAAAACAAAAAAACCCCTCAATATTGTCAATACTGTTCACAATTTTTGTCTTAGAACATGTCGACACTATTAAAACTCTTCTCTGTGCCTGTGTTTTTGTATATCATTCTCCCCCCTAAAATGAAGCACATACATTTCCTCTTTCATTTTTACTGTAGGCGTGACTTTAGATCCTGTCTACTCTCACCCACTTTCCTGTTAAAGTATATCTGTGGGTAAACTACACATCCCGGACTGTTCCTGTTGTTGACCTCTCTGGTCTGCATCTGTGCGAACTGAGCTGGAGATCGATTAGGCCTGAACTAGAGGCAGTGTGCTTTTGTTAGACCAGAGGAAGAGGGAGCTAGAGACTTTTTATAAAGAAGACTGCACACAGAAGGGGGGCGAGAATTGAACATATCTGTCTGCAGCGGGGTCTTCACTAAGAGCTCCGAGAAGAGCCAAGCACTGGGATTGGGTAGCGACCAGATATCGTAACACCCCCCTCCTCCTCTCTGTTGAGAATTGCGTTGAAACGAAAAGGCCTGCGCTTTATCAATATTATAGGATTATTCTTTGATTTTTTTTTTATTTTTCCCCTGTAGATTAAACGAGGAAACGCTGCAGGTTGGTGTTTAGAATGGGACACGCTGAAGGTACTGACTTTTTTTAATTCCCCGCATCTTTCGCCTCGGCATCAAAATCTGTGCTCCTTTGCTCTCCTCTTTTAGCGTGTTTGCCATAACTGCTGGCGCTGTCGATGCATGTTGTTGTCCCCCCCTCCGTGTCCGCACGGACCGATGTTGGCCGCAGCTAGCTTATTCCAGGCACATTTTTCTCCAAACCGCCAGTGATGGAGGTATAATCACGCCAGACAATTTGATTTAAAGGGGAAAAGGCAGCCATATTGGCAAAGAAACCTTAGCCTAGCCAATATTAGCTTTCCCTTTCATTTTCCTCCATGTGTGATAAATGGATAAACAATAACTGGAAATGTTTATCCGTGTGTGCTAAAAGGCTAACGGTCGTATTCCAGTTTAGTGTGTGTTGTCTGTCGGTTAAAAAGGGTCCACATCTTTACAAGATAATCCTTTTGATGCCAAGTAGCTGAGGCTAACATCGCAGAAAGCTATAAGATCATCCAGTGAAACATGTTAGTCCGCGCAGCCGTTTTGAAATGTAGCCACACATTTGTTACCGGGCTTTAATGTTCACAACGCTAGATATGAGCCTAAATTTAATATCACAAGTTGATGTAGGTAAGCTAGCTGGTGACCATTAGTTGACACCATATGGATGTTTACATCGCCGTTATCCACCTTTCCCAGTTTAGTCTGCTCAGAAATTAAACAACAATCATTGGATTAGTCTGGTCACCGTGAAAGCATCAACGGTTTTAATATGATTGATTTATCATAATAGATATTTAAAACGTATAAGAGGGTAAACCAGTCACTGGTAGCTGCTCTTTGTTTTGTTTGTGATAGCAGGCCATCATGTGTTTGTTGCTAAATGATAAAAACTACAGAGATGATTAATGGCTGATAAAGAGGAACCTACAAAACTTCTCAGTCATAGGTTCAAGCTGCCTGGAAGTTGTTTTTGCTTTGAGAGCACATTTAAGATCACTGGTGTTTTTGGTTGAGGATTTGTCCAGTTTTGGGGGGAGAGTTTGATCGTATGTCCACTGGCATCACACTGCCATGAGAGTTTATCAGTGTTTCAGTCATTTTGTAAAATCGATTAAACTGCAGATTATTTAATTATCTCGATCAGAGGCACTTCAGAACCCCCCAAATTCTCCAAGTCAGCGCAGTCAAGTTACTAGTTTTGTGTCATCAACAACAGGCAT